TAAAAATGGTTGATATGGATTGGAAGAGGAAGATGGTATCATCAGATTTACCAACTAACTCACCAAAGCTTTCTTCCAAGCTTCACGTTACTATACCATCTCCGTTCAAAATCCCTGTTTCGTCTCCGATATCTTGTTCCGCACCGGCGCTTTGCTCCGCTTACGAGCTTTACCTCCGTCTCCCGGAGCTTCGAAAGCTCTGTTCATCTCGTGATTTTCCTCTTTGGACGAATGAACCGATTCTCAAACCGGCTCTTCAAGCTTTAGAGATCAGTTTCCGTTTGATTTTATCCGTTTGTTCCGATACCAGACCGTACATCAACCACCGTGAATGGAACCGGAGGCTAGATTCGCTCGTCACGAATCAGATCCAGATTCTAGCAGCGATCTGCGAAGAGGAGGAAGAAGGTGAATCGGCGGTTCCGGTCAGCGATGGTCGGAGTTCTCTTAGCTTGCTTCCGCAGTTAGCTACGTGGAGGAAATCGGAATCGATTGGGAAGAAGATCTTATGTACAATCGATAACGAGATGCGTCGGTGTAAGTACACGCTGGGTCTCGGTGAACAGAACATCGCCGGAAAACCAAATCTCCGGTACGATTCGATTTGCCGACCTAACGAGATTCATAGCCTCAAGGATAATCCATACGCAGATCATATCGATAATCAAGAGAATCAAACTCTCTATATCCTTCACCAGATCCTCGAATCGTGGATCTATGTATCTGGTAATCTCTTGAATCGAATCGTTTCGAGTATCGAAGAAGGGAAATTCGGTAAAGCGTCGAGCGATGTGTACTTACTCGAACGGATCTGGAAACTTTTAACGGAGATTGAAGATCTTCATATTCTAATGGATCCAGAAGATTTTCTCAAATTGAAGAAGCAATTACAGATCAAATCAACTGGGAAAAACGACGCGTTTTGTTTCAGATCTAAAGGATTGGTGGAGATGATGAAGAAATCGAAGGATCTGAGGCAGAAAGTACCGGCGGTGTTGGAGGTTGAGGTAGATCCAACCGGAGGACCGAGATTGCAGGAGGCGGCGATGAAGCTTTACGCGAACAAGAGAGAATGCGATAAGATCCATTTGCTTCAAGGGATGCAAGCGGTTGAATCGGCGGCGAAGAGTTTCTTCTTCTCGTATAAGCAGTTAGTGGCGGCGATGATGGGAAGTGCAGAGACGAACGCGACGGCGAGTCAAGAGGCTTGTGACTCACTGAGTCAGATATTCATGGAGCCGACGTATTTCCCGAGTCTTGACGCGGCAAAGACGTTTCTAGGAGAATTCTGGAGCCATTTGGGATGAAAAACAAAAAAAAAAAATTTCTTTTATTTATTTTAAATTCCCGCTGGTATTTATATAAATTAAATTTGGTTGTATGATTGATTAGATTTATCATTTAATCATTAAAAGTTACTGAAAATTTTGGAACATTTGACGATAAATATTTGAATACAATTCATTTCATATGATTTTAACCCAAAAAAAAAAAAAATACTAATCCATATCTTTAGTAGTCAACTAACGAGTAACGACTAATCTATGTTGACTAATCGTCAACAAATCGGTACCTATCCTTTTTAGATGTTAGTAGATGAGAAACACACAATTTCACTATCATGGACTCATGGTGCATTGGTACTAATTATTC